TTCATTTCTTGATGACTGCTGCCATGATGTTGACTGTGTATCCAATTAAAAACAAATCCTTGACCATATAAATCTTTTCTCCATTTAGGATAATGTTGCTGATTGGCTTATTTGTAAGTTTGTTTTATGTTGAGGTGTTATCCACACTCGAGGCTATTTTCTTCAGTAAGTGCTATCAAATCCTCTTCACTTTCAAAATGCATGTTTGTGTCATGATGCCACATTCTTCTTCATATAGGGTAGTATCTCAAATTATTAGAGCAGCGTACAGATTGAACAGGTTCCATCTAATCACAATGTAGAGTTCTGGAACCCCCAGACTTGACAACATTATCCATATTATGATCCACAGAATTCTGTGCCTTTGCATAGTCAATAAAAGCCTCTTATGAATCTACCTTGAATTTCTGGCATGATTTTGTTGATATGTTGCTCCAGCCATTTGGAAAAATATTTAGCAAGATTTTACTTGTGTATGATATAAATGATATTGCTTGATAATTTCTTCGCAGTGTTGGATTACTTTTTTTAAATGGGCAAAAATATGGATTTCTTCCGGTCAGTTACTGCCTTACATATTTCTTGAAAAAGACTGGGCAACAGGTACAGGGCTCTTCTCTGTTTGCTGAAACCTCACAAATGATATTTGCCTTATTCCTGGAAATTTACACTTCATTTTGCAAATGTGTCCTAAGTAATCAGGACTTCTTTATTCAGCACCATTTTTCTAGATGTTATGTTACTTTTTGAAATGGCTCACAGTCAACCAGTTATTTTTGGTACAGTGGTCTGTGCATTCCTCCCATCTCTTGATGCTTCCTGCATCATTTAGTATTTTTTACAAAGAATCCTTCTGTATTAGAACGTGAAGTTTGGATTTGATCTTTGGTTCTCTCAGTTTGAGAGACACTAAGCAGTTCTTCCATTTTATATTCTAACTCCAGGTCTTTGCACATATAATTCTTTGCTTTGTCATGACAATAATATCTAATCATACATTGCTTCTAAATAGTACCCTCACAACTCTGTTTCAATGCAGTATATATTATTTATCACCTCTTAGTTTCCGCCCAACTCCGATGTCAGTCCCACTTTACAACAGTGGCACTATGTAGTATTTGTTCTTTTGTGACTGAGATATTTCACTCAGTATAATGTCCTCCAGGATCACCAATTTTTTTTAATAGTATTTTATGAGTTCCTTGTTTTTTAGTGCAGCATAGTATTCCATTGTGTGATATACCACCGCTTCTCTATCCATTCATTTGTTGATGGGCACTTGAGTTGTTTTGAATTCTTTGCTATCATGAACAAGGCCACAATAAACACGGGTTAGAATATATCTGCTTGGGTGGCAGTTCTGGTTTCTTTAGGGTATATTCCCAGTAGTAGACTTGCTGGGTTGAATAGTATTCCAGCTTTTTGAGAAAGCGCCATACTGCTTTCCATGGTGGTTCCACCATTTTATACTCCCACTAACAGTGAATAAGGGTTTTAGTTTCTCCACAACCTAGCCGGCATTTGTTGTTTGCTGTTCTGTTG